AGCGGCGTGCGACGATGTCACCCTCATGGATGGCTTTTGGTGTGGTCTGGACGAAGACATCCGCTTCCTGGTGCCCAGTGGGAATTCCTGTTGGATTTTAGCGGAGTACATCAACATTGCCCTCTGTGTGGATGGGTCCTCCTTCGAGGTTGGAGAAGCCGAAGAGGTGGACAACAGCACAAGCGTCCAGCTCCACCCCACATCCGTCACCAATTCGCTGCCACTGATCCCGCCCAGTATTGAGATTCCTGTGTCTCCATCACAGAGTTCGCCTAGTTCAGGATTACCTGTGTCTTCATCATTGCTCATCCTGCTCCACTCACAATTGTCTGTCTTCGTCATCACTGGTCCTGCCCAGCTCAGAGTATTCTGTGTCTGCAGAGCACCCGACCAGCCTCCCTCTCCCGCCTCTTCACAATCCAGCCAGTTCTTCAGTCCTGTCTCTGCTGGCTCCCTCCAGTCCCTCGACATCTCCAGTTACCCCACTCAAGTGTGCAGATCTGCCTTGCGTCCTCCAGTCTCCGGGGGGCGTTCTGTCACAATTATGCTTAGTTCAGTCTCTTTTGGTTTCAGTTTCATGGACTTTTAGTTTGTTCAAAGTTTCCTTTTTCCTTTGTCTTAGCGTGGAAACTAACTCAATCATCACAGCTGTTCGTTATTAGTTCTTCATCAATGTGTTTTTAAGGTCCTCCGTGTGTACTCTTCATTTGTCTGGTATTGTTTGTGTAAGCCAGCAGAAAAAACAATCCGCACATGGTTAAATGCAGGGCTAAAACCTCCTCAAAAAATCTTTATTATAATGCTAAATCAGAGGCCGTAAAAAAGTGAAAAGTGCAAAACGTTTTCGAGACAAAAGCTCTTCCTCAGTGCCACATTGATTAGTGCACACCTGCACCCATTATAACATCAGTATTCACCATGGACATCATAATATACACGCAGGCACAAAAAAGCACCATACAATATATCCAATTATACCTTAAGACATTCCTATATATATATATTTTAATGGTAAAAATGCCTTAATGCAAAAATACCCTAATACAACATTATTAATGTAAAATGCAAAAAATAACATAATTTTACCCATAGATCTTATAAATGTTTCTTATATACATACATTACAAAAAAACAATTCAAAACCAATTCCTCATTCATACCAAGAGGATATAAAGATCTCAAATCAAAAATCCATTTGCATTCTCTTTGTAAAAGGCGGCGTTCCATGTCACCACCCCTTCGAAACTGTGGTATATGTTCTATTACCGTAAAATCCGAGTCCGCTATGGAATGTGCCGCTTCATTGAAATGACGAGCTACTGGAGATTTTATGTCCTTTCTCCTAATAGAGCTCATATGTTCAATAATATGCGTTCTGATCGATCTACTAGTTTTTCCCACACACTGTTTATGACACACACAAGTCAACAGATAAATGACATTAGTGGATGCACAAATGGTAAACTGTCTCATACGATACACTCGATCTGTCATCTTTCACTTGTTTGTGTAACCCACACTGTTTTGCCTGCTTGTGGATCTCATCTACCTGTATTTGTTGGATTTAATAAAGACTTCTGTTACTTTGACTCTTCATTGTCTTCATCTGACCTGAAGCGTGATGGTAACAATGTAAGGAAATGTAGAGACCGGACCTTTCTGAGCTAATAAATCTGCTCCATATGAATGCTGAAGTGGGAACACTGTAGCCAGCAATAGGTCAGAGACATAACACAATCTGAACAGTTTTATTTATGGTTGAAAACTTGTAAACACTTGCACTTGTAACTGAAAATGAGTTTGAGCTGACCCACAGAAGGGTGCTGATTAGTCTATGATTTCCCCCCACAAATTTCAGTGTTTAGATGTCTGAAATTACAGGTTTTATTTTTGTAATCACCATAATTTCCTGACTTGGGTATTCAGCAGGATAGTTAAAGGCCCTGCCCATTTATAACATGAAGAGTATGAATGAGGTATATGACAAAACCAGCTAATCATACCTTTATATATAAGGTAGGCATGAATAGAGCCAGGTAATCAGGAAACTCTCACAAATACATCAAAAAGTGATTTTGAGGACATATAATGTCATGCTCTTTTATGGTTGAATGAATAGATGGATAATGGAAAACAGAATACATTTGAGATCAGCAAAAAGAAAAAAATACAACAAAAACACAACAGATGAACTAAAGATCTTTAATGATCTGGCTTCATATGAAAGTTAGAAATTAAATTCTTGTTTTGCAGATCAAACTCGACACACCTTCATCTTGAACAGTACTTCATGTTCAGGGTTGAATAATCATTATTTAGTGTATGATTCATTGAATAATGATTCATTCTTTCTTAATTATAATACTTATAATCAACACTGTGTCATGATTTCTGATTGATACTCTCTGGAATAAGAAATAATACAAGTGCATAGTTATTATTTCTGTGAAAATAATCCACAATCATTGACTAAGTAACCCTAGGAGCCTTTTTGGAACACAGAAGATATAATGAAGAACTGTTTTGGACATAAAATTCAGTGGGGTCCAAAACAACATTGGACACCACTGACTTTCACTTATGGACAAAAAAAAAAAAACACGGAAAAAAAGGAGGGGGGCAGTTTTGTATTTTTTAAGACAAAATTGTGTACAACCCTAACTTTCACCAAACTCTTCAAGCTGTTCTAAGGAGCTCTGAGTCGGTGCCTTGAAAGCTGTCAACACTCCTAACCTCTGACTCAAGCAGAGCAACAACCAATACATAAAGCACAATCACTATTCCATTGCTGTCTTTAAGCTTTGCCCTCTATTTGTGCTGACAACCCATTTAACACTATTAATGTAGCTGGTGGTCTACTGTACAGGAACCTCAGGCTCTGGGAACTCCGAAAAACTATGAGCGCTCTCAATTATTCAACATGGTAGTGCAGGTTTTTCCAGACGCCTGTTATTGTTAGAAACAGCCCACTCTTTAGCACAGTGAAGTCTTTCTTACAGCTTAAAATGATAGTTCACACTAAAATGAAAATTCTGTCAGCATTGCTATTTACTCATTGTTCCAAGTCTTTATGGGTTTCTTTTTTGCTGTGGACTTTCATTGTTTATACAATGAAAGTCCTTACAGGTAAAGACAAAAAACACAGTTTTTTTTTCTTCAAAATATCTTCTCTTGTGTTTCACAGAAGAAAGAAATGGTTTGAAACGACATGAGGGTGAGTGCATGATGTACATACAGTAGTGCACAATTCAAGACTGAAGATACACTTTGAATATACATATATATACATACAGTATATATTGTTTGATTTACAAGAAAATACTATTTCAATCATTTTGCTTCACAATTTCATGTTTAATTCAATGTGTTAAGTGCTATTTCTTTGTAGTTATTTGTGAAATTTACTAGCAATTTCTGACTTTCAAAAAAAAAGTCCCAGATAGCAGTTGACTTAAAGGAATTTCCCAACTAATAATAATGACAATATGAGCATGAGGTTTCTTTTTCTGTGTTGTGGGAAAACCGTGGCTCAGATGAAAATCGCAGCATTTAATTTCAGTATAATTTACCTTGCGTGTCACGCCACAGGCGTGTTGATTTATTGACAGATTGTTACATCACAGCCTCTCAGCTGCGAGCACTAATGCTGATTGTGCAAAATTTTTCCTGAAAGGCAAGTCGAACACTGTCACCATGACAATATGATGAAATGTATCAACTAATAATAGTCTGATATCCTCCTGGGAGGTGATATAAAGGTTCTTTTCCAATTTTGATTTGTAAAGACCAGCGCAGCAGGGATATGACTTCACCATCTCTGTTTGTATTCATTTGCTTCAGACTGCCTGCTGAAACATTAATGCCTGTCTCAGTTTCACTGTTTCTCACTGAGGCAGGGGTCCCGCTGCCCAGCAGACAGCACAGATTGCACTTTGTCTGAGAGGAATAGAGACAGTAAGAGTGAAAGAGTGAAAAAATATTCATAATTTTAAAATAATAGAGAAATAATGGAAAAGCTATAATAAAGAACATTTAATGGGACATTACATGGAAATTAACTGTAAAATTAACTAAAATTAAGTAAAAGATTTTATACAAAATATGTTTTTTGGAAAAAAAAGTTATCAACTTGAACATCTATATCCTAGTCAACAAGATAATGCATATATATAAACATAAAGTTTTGTCTTTACGTGGCCTTCTGTTTTGAGGTGGTTATGAGCAGAGTAAGATGTACTGTAGTTAAATTTTCCTCTTGACCATATAGATGTCAGTAAATCTCTAAAACACATTGAATGTTTATGCTTTTATTAATCTGGGGGTGGGGGATTTGTGGACATAGTAATTTCGATTTGTAGGATAACAAATATTTTTATTACTTTTTTAATGTTGTTTTTATTAATATTTTATGTAGAAGTGAAAGGTTAAAGTGAGACACTTAGGGTGACTGAAGGGCCTCAGTGGCCTCATTTTTTTTTTTTTTTTGTATTTTCACAGTGAACTTGTGCCAACAAAAGCTGCCAGCTTTTACTGTAAATTTAACAGGCTTTTTATATAGTGTGTAAGAGAATCCACATCTCATCCTTTTGTCTCTCTCTCTCTCTCTCTCTCTCCTTTCTCTCCAGCTTTCTTACATTTATGACAACAAAACAAATAAATAAATCATTAAAATTGACATAAGATGTATTTTTATATATTCAGAAAAATATATAATTATATTATATTATATTTTAACAGGCACCAAAATGCCTCCTGTAACACCTGAAATGTTGTCACTGTATTTTCACAGTGAACTTGTGCCAACAAAAGCTGCCAGCTTTTACTGTAAATTTAACAGGCTTTTTATATAGTGTGTAAGAGAATCCACATCTCATCCTTTTGTCTCTCTTTCTCTCTCTCTCTCTCTCTCTCCTTTCTCTCCAGCTTTCTCTTTCAGAGCTAAACTGAACTGAAGCTAGTGGGATTAGTTCTGGACTGGCTACTGTCGACTATTGGAACACCCTCTAGAGGCTGCAGGAGGAGAACACCAGCACTGGCAGATCAATACAATGGAAGAGAGAGAGAGAGAACAAGACAGGGGGTAGAGAGGCATAGGGAGGGTAGAAGAAGGAAAGAGAACGAGAAGGGGGGTGTCGCTGGGCGAGGGAGGGAGACACAGTGATAGTGTGCGTGTGCGTGAGAGAGGAGGGTGCGAAAGACGGATAGACAGAGAGAGACCGAGTTAGAGAGAGAGCAAGGTGCACACGTTGCTCAGCCTTCTCATTGCAGCCGCGACAGGCAGCCAGAAAGGAGCTCCAATCTAACCGGTGGCAGCAATAGACTACTGAAAACACAGCTTGACCGATCAATAGACCTTTGCCAGAAACATTGTGAGAGGGAGAAAGCTGCTCAAGGACCAGGGAGAAGCAGATAAGGTGAAGATCTAAAGGCAATTACAACACCGGCTTCCAAAACTAGGTAAGTTGAGCGTCTTGTGTTTAATAAGTGTTCTCTTCTCATAGCAGCTGTGCTGTACTGGAGGGGTCTGACTGGGGAATGGGAGGGGGCTCAGGTAATTAACTGGTTTGTGGGTTGTGCATCAATCAAAACATTATCATTCTGAGCTTCAGACCGAATGTCAGGTTACCAAAATCACACCAGGGAACAGACCGGGTCTGGTGTAACCAAAGCTGTATTCTTCTTCGATTACATCATTTACATGCATTTGAATATGCATTGAGTAGATTTCATTAAAACAGTACTCCAGAAGTAGTATCAGTTTTATGCATTCAAATTGTTTTGAATGATTCACAAGTGCAAGTACAGTGAGTAAAAACATTGCATGGATGGTTTTAAATAAGTTGGTTTCATATGCTCTTTTGACGCAAGTTATGATTGCAGAATTTTACTTTCAGTATTTGTCATTTAGATTATGATATAGAATATAGTTAAAGAGTATAATAAATCTTCTATTTGATGCATTCAAAAATATGTGGAACTATATACTGTATAAGTAACTGCATGTACAGTAATATAGATCATAATATATAAAGTATAAGAATATGTAAAAATATGAATTATTTTTTAAAAATGTATTACTTTTATGTATTATATATTGTGGTCTATATTACTGTACATAGAGGACATACAATATGTATTAATATTTATTTAATATACAAATTAGAATATCAGAACAGTTTGAATATATTTATACAGAAGGATTTAAAATATTAATAAAATATTTTAAAAATATGGAAATAATATTTTTAAGAGTGTACTGTACATACTGTTATTTTGTGCTGTTTAAAAGTATAAATGCAAAACTGTAGATGTAGATTTTGGTTCAGCACAATTACTTTGAAGTATGACTTATAGCAGCAATTTCCTTCAAATCTAGATGCAGTTTGTTTTAAGAATTTACATAGATTACTTTTTTACATAGATATTTTCTGAAAACCAGCCTCACTGTACCCCAGAGTGAACAATTATTATGTGCAGTGGGCAAACTTTCCATCCAAAAAGTAGGGGATGCTGTTATGGGCAGTTAATGATGTCACCATCCATCCTGTGGATAAACTGGCTGTTTATTTCTTCCACTATATCCTGTGGCACCTTTTTCAGAGAAATATTCTCACACTTGCTGTTGTGCATCCATTCCTCCTCCCTGCAGAGCTGCACTGTGAGGGATATTGTCGTATTTCTTAAGTGTTTGATTTGTCAAAGTCAGTTGAACATATTGTCCATGGGCAGAGAGTGTGGTATCGGCATGATATTAAAAATCTGGTGTGGGGGATCCTTTCTGCAGATTTATAACTGGAGTATAAATCTTAACACCTCAGCTACGAGACCTTTTCTTCACCGCGCTGCCATGTGAACGAATGATACTGCATGCCTCCCCACACAGTGTAAGATGAGAGCCCAGGGGTACATGGTAATCTCTCCGTAGGTAGATCACACCTCTCTGTGGCTCATTCCTTCCTTCCTCCTGCTCCTCTTTCATTAGTCTTAGGCATGATTTCTAAGCTTTCCCTGAGTCTGAGAATACAGATAACGCACTCTGCTCCCACTAGCACGCAGGCCTATATATTAAACATGCAGCCATCAGAAGGCTCTCTCTCTCAATCAACAGTCAAATTTATGGAAATGTGAATCAATAATGTGGATAAACATTCAACTTTAAAATGTTTGCTTTGGCTAAAATGGCAAACGACACACTCACTGCAAGAACAAAGGTACTGAGAATGACATGCAAATTCAAATGATGCTTCCACACAAGAAGATTTTTTTTTAAAATGTCTTAATGTTTTTTTTTTCTCCATACAATGGAAGTCAGTGAGATCCGATGTCATTTTGAACCCCAATAACTTTCATTATATGGGCAAAAGCAGTTAAAACATTTCTCAAAATATTTTCTTTTGTGTTCCACAGAAGAAAGTAAGTCATACAGGTTTGGAACGCCATGAGTAAATAGTCACCAAATTAACATTTTTAAGATTATGTAACGCAACAATGTAATGACAAATCATGGCTTTCTTTCTGTGACTATTATTGGTCTGCAGAGCTGTTGTCTATCCACCTTAAAATTCAGAAATGTTGCCATGTGTCGAATATTCTGACCAATGAGGGGACAATTTGCTTGATGTGACTTTTATTATCACATTTTGGTTTGTTTTGAAATGTTGCCATGTGAAAGTGAAATTAACCAAGCAGACCAACCATTTGTCTACACTGCAGAACAAAGCAAAAAGATTACAAATCTGAAGTAAGGTTTCAATATGGTAAAACTTAAGTAACATGCATGTAATTGTATTAAAGTAATATTTCAAGAAAAATGGGAAAAAGATTTTATGATGAAAATCTATATTTTATTCAACTACATCAAGAAAAAAAAGGTGTAGAAACAATTTTCACTTAAAAACTTAACTTAAAAAGTAAACGTAACAATTACAAAGAAATGTCAAGTAGCACACTGAATTAAATTGTAAATTTTGTAGAAAAGCTCATAGTATTTTCTTGTATAATATACTCGAATAATTTTATTTACAACTTCAAAAAATCTTTTTTACAGTGTACTTTTGCAGTAAAATTATGTTTTTTGTAAGTAAAAAAACATGAGTCACCTAATAATTTAATATAATTTAAACGCACATGAGCAGCAATATCTTGTGTTAATCATGACTGCATAATAAAATTAGATTTTTCTGATACTTTCCCCTCTCAGTGAGATTAATTAACATGTAGTGGCACACCTGTGGGTAACCAAACAGCACAACTGTGTTAGTCTATGAGGAAATTAATAATTTACATAATATTTCAGTCCAGGGGCTTTGCCTTTGCACAATGCCCAGCAGTGACTGTGCTGCAGAAGTTTCCTCTACTCTTGCTATTAGACTGCTAAATGGTAATTAAGCCAGGGCTCCATTTGCATGCACTCTGCGGAAGAACACGAGTGTTTAAAAAGAAATCGGGCTGCATATATTGGACCACCCGAGGATCATTGTCCAAAATTAAAGCAGGTTGAGGCGGCTGCTCTCCTTGCGCTCGCTGTTCAACTGCCATTAAATGGCTTTCAAGTGACTATTCTTTTTTGTCATTGACTTAAATACAGCTTAGCTGATGGATCCGCTTACCATAACGCTATGTTATTGCAGTTTGTGTGCGTTTTTAATGCGTTCCTGCTTTTGAAATGACCCGTTTGAGCACTATTGTTCTCAATTTAATTACCAACCCTCCATGTTCAGCATAAGCCAAGGACAAGTTAGTCGACAAAAACTGTAGTTGCTGAAGAAAATTCTACTATACAAAAGAGGCATTTCTCGTTCACCCCCTCAAACATGAAGCCATGGTCCGTTCTGTCAAGGGTTCAATCTGTTTGATAAATGCTTCGCCGCCTCTGAGCTGTTTTGGTGTTCACCTTCTGAAAGCCACTAGCTTTAAATAATACAAGGTACAATGAGATCAAGTAATAGAGAAAGAAAATTACTTGAACCCTTGCCCACTGCTCATGCACCTATGTTTTTGCCTCTCCTGCCACCTTTTTCTGCCTACATATATGCTCTAATCCTCCTGCAGATGATTCCCAGACTGCAATGCAGTCAGAAGGGGGAGCCGGTGAGCTCTTGCTTTGATTTGAAAATGTGCTCATGGCTTGATGATAGTTTTAGCACATCAGACAATGACTGTACTGCAGTGTGATGCTCTAAATTAATGGGATTAATGTTTATTTGGCTAATCTGATTAGTGAGTTAATCGGATTGAACTGCTTCAGAGTGTGAAAGAAATCCTGTGAGTGAAAAACAGATTCATCAACATTATTTAAAGGTGCAGTGTGTCATTTGCACATCACTAAGTAGCACCAAACTGAATTTTCACATTATGAATGTATTCAGATATGTTTTAAGCACTCACTTCTTCCACCGTTTTTCAGAAAACAAGTACCCCCACCCCAAATTTACGTTACTCCGCAGACGTTACGTTAAAAAGCTGAAAGCGCAAAATGATTAACTTGCAGAGAGCATTTCTGATTGGCTAAAATAGTATTTTTTTTTTTTTTTTTTTGTAAAAATGCCTGTCACAGGTATGATTCCTCAGGACACCTATGGCAGTTATATCTGTCAGGTATGTAGTTGGAACATTTTATGCTTGGTAGTCAAGAAAAAACAATAAATAAAAATTGCTTACAGCACCTATAATAGTGAAAATGCAACAAGTCAGCACTTTGGTTTTATTGGTCTTATATCAGGTATACCTGACATGTAGCCTGACAATTCTAGATAAATTTCCAACTACTGGCATATTGAAAGGCTTTGCTGAGCCAAAGAAAATCAGCAATCAATATAGGGCTTAAAAAAAAACACTGTTATATAGTGCTCGGTGACAAAGAACATTTGACTTATCAGCTCGCATTCGATCAGGGCCAACTAACAGGGCGATTGATTGCTCTGTAAAGCTCTGGAGGAAATGGAAGAAATGAATAAATCAGGAGTGAATTACAAACACACAGAAAAGAGCCAGGTATTTCTTTGGTCCTATCAGGAACAGTCAAGTGCGTTGATCTACTGTGTGTGTGTGTGTGTATTCTTGAAGGAGAAGCATCTAAAAGAGGACGGGAAGTGAGAAGACAGCAGGCAGTCAACAGCCGAATGTGTTCATCAATACTGAGGACAAAGACAAATAAGACAGGTTTAATTTGTTTTGTTGATAAAGCTGAATTGGAATTCATTATTGTGAGTTTATATTAGGGCTTATAATTTAACATACTAATTTAAGGTGATTCATTATTTTTTAAAACAAATGAAATGAAATGCGTCAAATGAGCAAATTAAAACATGAAAATTATAGAAATATATATCCTCCAGTTCTCAAATCAATATGATTTTGGCACCTCCTTTGGATTTGCATATTTATGCAATGCATTTGCATTGCACCCATTACCTTGTATGCCCCTTTATGTGATTATTTGCGATTAATTAAATTGA